ATGTACTGGCTTCAGCATTTGGAAGTTTTCTGTAGGCATATATTCACATTATCTTTGTATTACAGTCCTACAAGTGTTCTGGGACACTTTGCGAGCTGCGGACTGTGAGGTTTCTGGGGCAAATGGGAATACTAAATGGTTCCTTGCATCTGATATTAGTCATATTCACTTTGTGCAGTTTTAAAGATAAGGCAGTGGGCCTCAGAAGAAATCAAATTTCTACTTTTTCTGGTTATCCTCTGTCATCCAAACCAATTGTTTTGCCATTATTGTAAGTGCAGTGAGCAAATTTGTAGTCGTGGGAAAGCCTGGAGTTTGCTCTTCACTGAAATTCAGGTCTTTGGGACTCTTTCCAGTTTCTGTTTTAAGCTCAGATGTTGAAGCTCTCTTATTTTTCCATTTTTTCCCCCTTATTGTGCTTATATTTGCTTTTGCTAAGACTCTAGTTGATATGGTTTGAAGGAAGAGGAACTTATGAATGTAAAAGCCCCACAGGTCTTTGAAAAGTGGGAAAAAACCACCAAAGAATGTAGCAGATATTCAAAAATCCTAATTAATATGTTGTTATAAAAGATGGTAATGCATTTAGTGTACTCATCAACTAATTACAGCCCGTGTGATCACAAGTACTAATTTCTGATGTGAATGATGAGATTCTGATGTAAAATGAGATACAGGGAAGAAAAGATGTGCCATGTTCATGTGACTAGAATGCCCAGAGAGGAACGGTTAGCCTCCCCTGTGGCTAAGCACGTCACTGCGTTTGGCTGTGGACAGAGGGAAGGAGGATGACAGAGCTTTTTCTTATTAGGTAATTCCAGAGATGAGCCTGTCACCTGAATGGTAGGAAGCGAGTGTATAAAAAGGAAAAAAAATCCAGCAGACCTTGTTCTAGTTAGCAGCAGCCTGTGCTTTGTATTTTGTCAGCTTGGATCTATTGTATGCTTACCTTAGTCCAAAGATACAGCTGTGCCCCATGCTGTTCAGGTTTGACTTCTGGGCAAATGAGTTAGGAAAGCAGCTCCTTGGCAGCCACTGCCTGCACCTTGCTGTGTCTTTCATTCAGAGAGAGCAGTGGGCTTTGTTTCTGCTGCTGGTGGAGCTCCGTGCACACGGTGGGTGAACGCAGCGTTAGCTGCACTGCGGGTTGACCCTAAGCTCACTGCCCTGCTGATGGAAAGAGCAGGTCCTGTTGTGTGCACAAATGTCACTTTGGTTGATGTATTTTAATTTAAAAATGTTTGCAGAGGGCATTGCTTAGCTTTTGCAGGAATTCTAGAGCCAAACACAGAAAAGAGAAGAAAATGCCCAAGTCTATCTACCTTTGGTATTACACTGGTTTGTATTAGTTGGAAGAAGCAGAGTTCATCTGATTTTTTTTGCCAGTAGTTTCACAGACCTGCTGCCATGTCAAAAGTCCTTAGTCTAGTTTTCCCATTTTTCTCTATGCTTTTCATCTTCTCATTTGATCCTTGATGCGGTGTGTTTCTGAATAGCAGTGTGAGCTGAGGTCTGTGCAGGAAGAAGCTTCCAGGGACTCCTTTTGAGAAAATGCTGATTCAGTCAGTGCTGCCCACTCTTTCAGAAAAATATTTTAGACATTCAAAGAAGCAAAGATTTTCCATGGCTCTATTCTAAAGTTCTATTCATGCGGCACCACGTTAATAGTACTAAATATTTTTAGATGTTTAATTTCTGTTCTCCGTGTAGTGCTGTTAAGCTGCTCCATTCTCTGCTCCTCAGTAAAATACTGGCAAGCAACTGTTCTCGTTTTCTGTCTTGGCAGATTATGAATCTCAATTTACTCCTGAGGCAGGAGTGCGATATTACAATTAAAGTTCTAGAAATGAAAGGTTCATGTCTCAACTGTTCTGCCTTCTCCTGAATTGGAATGCTTGCTGCAGTGCTCTTTTCCCAAGTAATATGCTCTGGTAAATTGCAGGGAGATAAACCAACCTCATCTGTGAGTTTATGTCCTGGAATTAGCAGTAATTCTGCTTGACGTGGGTAGGTAGCAGATATCAGAGGCCTAAATCAGGAATTTCTTTCTGATTTTGCCTGGGACGAGGTAGTGCTGTCTGTTTTTGCAGTGCACTCAAGGTACTTGATTTCTTATCTATATAAGAAAGCATGTGCAAGGTGAATACTGAGGGAAGTGATGCCCGAGTGCCCACCTGGTCCTGTTGTCATGGAGGACTTCTGCTAGCTGTTGCTGCAAGCTTGGAACAGAGCCCCTGAGGTTTTTATCTGTTGGCATTTTTAGTGAGAGGATAGCTGAAAGAACCTTCTAACCCTGTGGAGGCTGGCTGAAGCAAAGGGACCATTCTGAGCACGTGGCTTTTCAGAATAGACATGGACAGGATCGCTCTCACTTGTGTACTCCTGCACTGTGTGTGATTCTTCCTTAGCAGAGCAATCATTTTTGTTGTCATTAAAACTTCATACAAGTTGTATATATTGAAATATTTTTCATTTCCAATATAAAGTAGTAATAAGAACAAATCAAACTGCTTTTGTCAGTGGAATTTTCATTTATATGAAATAATTTGTGTGAAGCCTCAGCTCCTCTTCAATTAACAGACAGGGAAGAAATGAATGGGAGAAAGCTTTCAAATATGCAGTATTAGTTGTGCATGCTCTGTTGCTTTAAAGGCTGCTGTGCTGCTGTGCAGGAAGCTGCACGTTGCAGAAGGTAATTGCTTTCCTGCTTCAGAGGCCTGACGTGTGATGGCAGGGAATTAGGCCTGTGAGCAAAGTGAGATCAAGTGTTCCATCTCATTCAGGGCTCATGTTTGAGTTGGGAAAAAGTACGAAAGAAAAACTGCAAGTAAAGAAGAAACCTCAAGCTTTAAGTCAGAACCTTGGGTAGATCCGCTTCCAATTTCTTCCTAGCAGGGCAGTGATGTGTCTGCGAGAAAAGATTAAGTGATCTGTTGGGGATATTATTATTAAGATGCCAACATGAGATGGTTATCAGTGTGGAAGGGTTTGTAAATAGTTAAGAATTAAGGAAGAGAAAAGCAAAAATGCTGTGGAACCAAAGAAGGGGGAAGTAGTGCTAATGCTTGAATTCTTGTTTATTTTGACTGGGTCATTAAACAAATTTACCTTATGTGTATGAAAAGTACTTACAAATAAGATTTAAATTAGGAGCTTCTGATAGTCTCTTAGCTCAGCAGAACAGAGAATTGTGTCATAGTATTTATAGAGAGAATGTGAAGAGTTTTGGAGTAGTATAAATGTATTTAAAGGCTACTTTAGGGAGAATAACTTGTTTCTTTTAATGGGCGGTTACACAGTTTCAATGTCACCAGCAAAACTCCGGATCATTTATCATTTTTAAGTTGAAAGCCATCTGTGTCATTGAGGGAAGGGGATTTAGTTTCCTGTCAGCTTCCTTTTTGGAAAAAGTGATGTGTGTAGACTGCAAATATTTCCAGTTTGGGTAAAGTATGTTTGAAAATACCTTTTGGGTAGAGTCATATTTTGATGGGCGAAGGAAGAGGATTTGCAAAGAAAGAGAAACTTCAGTTCTACGTGTTTATAGAAACATTTTGAGACATCTGAGGGACTTGTTTTTCCCTGCGCTTTAAAAAGTACACAGTGTTCAAGCTAGGGGAGTTTTGACAGTGTTAACCTTGATCTCTTCTGGCACTGCAGCCCGGTGGAGAATGTTCTGTCAGAAGTCGCTCCGTACTTTGAACTGTGGCAGGGGCTGCTGTGGTATGTGTGCACAGCGAGGATCACAGCGTTTCACTTCCAAGAGACAACAGAAGGGCTTTATGTTTTATGTTCACGTACATGTGAATGAAAGCAGTGTATGAACTAGAGCATACTGGGGGAGCACGTGGAACTGTATTCCTTTAGAGTTTGGATGTCCCTGTTCCTTAAACGAAAGGTAGGGGAAGTGCTGCAAATGTTCATGTCTGTGTGTGTGAGGAGCGTTCACTGGGACTGATTAAAAAAATAGTAAATAGAATTTCATGTTCTGTCAGTACTCTCTGCACGTTGTATGAGGCAAATAGTAAATATTTATGTGAAATGGGAAAAACAGATACTGTGAAAGAGAGGAAGTACACGTGCTATTGTAATGTGAGCATGTCCTAATGTAAATATCAAACAAATCCAAATTACCATGAAAAAGTCATCACTGCATCAGAATAAAGCTGACTAGGATTCAGTTTTAAAATGTTTCCTTTTGTGCAAATCTTCCATGCAGAGGTGTTTTTGTTTTGTTTTCATTATCACATAGCAGTGACAGCATTCATGTGAAAACAAAGCGTTTTATAGCTCCTATTGCGTATTCCCTACCTGAAAATATTTTACTTCTATTATCTCAAAACACCATCCCTTGGGATACTTTGATAGAAAGCATGCCAAAAGCATCTCATGGGAGTGATCTTTCACTAGCAGAGAAATAAATGAAATTTCTTCTGGAGGTATTTTTTCCCAACTTTAGTTTTGAGAAACATTATAGCACACAAGATCCTGTCAAATCTCCTTTGAGTAAAGTGAAAGTAATCCTTTTATGCAGAGCTCTAATACAGAAAGTGTTGGTAAAAAAGTATTGGTTTTATTTGTCAAAGCAAGCAAAGAGATAAAAATAAGCATCTGTCATTTTGAAGTAGAATAATTTGGAAAAGATCATAACAAAATCTTCTAAGAAATGAAGTTTTCATTTACATTACAGTTGCTAAGTTACTTTGGATGCTACTGATAATTACTCTATGAAGTTAAATAATGCTTGAAATCTCCATTCTCCTGCCTGACTCACCTTCTAAAGGTGACCTCCACAACAAAAATAGAACTTGTTTGGATTATGGTGAAAACCGTCATATTTAACATAATGTCTGTTTTACCTTCTAATATCTGCATCTGAATTTGAACTAAATGTGCTGGATGGCTGTAGAATCATACTAAGCAAAACTATGCTATTTGTTACTGAGGATTTTGGTACACAATACTCACCAGAGGATTTTCCTGTCTTATTGTCTCTCTAGTGTTGAGGGTGAAGCTCCAAGTAGTGAAACTGGCACATCTTTGGACAGCCCATCTGCTTACCACCAAGGACCTATAACACACAGTTCAGCTATAAGTCCGGACCATTACGATCATTCAGCTTACGGGCTGTATTCTGTCTCCCCTGGACAACAAAGAACTCGGAGGCCAAAGCTTCAGCACTCAACGTCAATACTGCGAAAACAAGCAGAGGAAGAAGCTATTAAAAGGTCAAGATCACTTTCTGAGAGCTATGAACTCTCTTCAGACCTACAGGATAAGCAGGTATTTGAGCTTTTTTACCTCGTTTGCAACAATGACAACATGTCTGTAAGCTGGAAAAATTATTTTTCAAACATCACTTCAGTTACGATGCTAAAAATATTTTTTTTCCTGCAATCAACTTTGTTCAAACTGAATGTTTCTGAATTCTTTTTGAATTTGTGTTATACCCTCTGAAGGAACACCTAAAAGATATGTTAATACTGTTAAAAGTAAAAGCTGTCAGGAATGGTGAGTTGATGCTTGAGATTAGTACTATTTGAAAGAATATAATAGTGCAAGATGGTTTTCTAAGAAAATCAGTCATTCTGAAATCTGGATATTTTTGTTGCTCCTGAAAGAAAGGAAGAGCCTGTTACTGCTGGTATTCTGTCAAGATATCTGTTTGTTCTAAAATTTCAAGTTGGAGAAGCATATAATGTTTTTCCAGAGTGACCTGGAAGAACAGAGCTTGAGCTCTGACTTAAAGATGAAGCCAATGCTCTAGAGGAGTATGAGTTTAGGTTTGCTTTTATGCTCACCAAATTCCAAAAGTATTGGGGAAATATCAAGTTTTTCCCTTTCTTAGTCTGCCTTATGACAGGTCTGCCATTAAATTAGATCTTGTGAGATCTGAAAGATTACTTCCTTTTCTACCTGTGGCAGTTTTTTGATAGGTGTTGCATAAGAGGTTGATATAGAGTGCTAGGCTCACTAAAGAGATGTCCTGCACTGCAGATATTCCATGGAGGCTAATTCCCTGTGTCCTTTTATGTCAGCTTGACAGAGAATGAGGACTGCAGATGTTATTTTGTATTTGTTCAGGGACTACTACGCAGTAAAAAGTGGCAATGGTACATAAAGAAAGCTTGATACCTAAGAGCTGTTAAATGCTCTTAAAAAGCTCAATGAAATCTCAGAAGATACTTAAATTATTTAGGAAAATGCTCAAGGTGTTACCTGAAGGCAGTGTGCATTTAAATATGCTTTGACAGGTGTGTTAAATATGCAGTAAAATGTATTAGAAGTATCAGTCATAAGTTCAGTAAATCATCTAGGCAAGTTCCAGGATACTCCTAATTAAAATTCCCACCCAAACTCCCTGATTTATGATAATCAGTTTTGATATCATTTTCTATATAAACCTGAATGACAACAGAGCCTATTTGCAAGAATGAAGTCCAGATTATTTATTTTATAGAAAATTAGTTTCCATCATTTGCTTGAATATAAGTCCAGGAAAACAATTTCTTACAACTTATTTAAACACACATGAACTTGTATATTCTATGGATAGAAATGGTAATGAATGTGTGACAGCAGTGGCAGGGTTGTGATAGAAGGTTATAGTCATGTTTGCACTTTCAGAATTCTGTCCAAGTAACTTCACAGCCTCAGAATGTGCAACAAGTAATATAACTTTCTCTTTAGGCGAAAGGCCGAATGTATTTTAAAAGCAAGTAGGGATAAATTTTGAAAGATGTTCAGAATCCTATCTCAGAGATCAGTCACGGCTTTGTGAATTTAGTTTAAAAAAAAAAAATTAAATGCAATCAGAAGAGCAGTTCCTCAGCAATAATCCTGACTTGAGCACATTTGTCCTCCTCAGTTATGCCAATAACCACACACAATGTTTTTTTGTATCTAGAACAAAATCAAGACAAAAACATCAGTGGTTTGTATTTAAAAACAAACCAAAATGTCAGTGATTTGCATTTAAAAACAACCTAGTCAAAAAGATCATCTTTATGTGGCAAAGAATCCTGAACTGCTGAACCTGCCATGAGCACCAAAAGAAATACTTCTTCAGCTGTTCCTCAATGGCAGACACAATTGACCAGAGGACTAGTCTGGTAGCATTTAGTTCCTTCCTCAATATGGGGATGATGCCTCTCTGCACATCAACATCTGAACTTAACAATTACTTGGAGAGATCTCTCCAAGTGTTGGGTGCATGGAGAGGTGTTGGAGAGGTGTTGAGTGCATGTACATGAGTAATTAAAGTGTTATGTCTAATGATAAAAGGATACCTGGATTTGTGAGAGAGGAGAAATGACTTTTGAATCATTAAGTAGTATGAAGATTGCATGAACTTGCATGAAAGCACTGTCAGAAAACTGGTTTTTGTGTGGGTAGTACGAAACATGATTTGTCAATAACATTTTCTGTTTGTGACCTGTATGGATCCAGTAAAGGCTAACAGGGAGAACAGAAATAACAGGAAAGATGGAATATTAATCTTACTCAGTTATCTCTAAATACAGAATATTTTTAATGTTTTGGAAGGAAAGATTTGAAAATATTTAAAGAGTGTTCCAAAACTGCTGATGTCATTTTCTGGTTAAATTGATAGGATTTACAATGTTTTTATTTTGCATGTTCATTCTGTTAATTGGAAGCATTGGCAGTGCTGAGTGTAATTACAAGAATGAAAATAGCTACAAACTTGTCTTTAGAAAGTCTAAAAAGCATGTTCTTGGTTTGAGGAAGGCTATATATGGGGATACTTTCTCAGAGCAGCCTCTCTGGAAGGGTGTAGCCTAGGAGGCTTGGTTTTGCTTTGGTATCAGGCTTCAATGAAAGGATGCTACCTGCTTTTTATTCATGTAGAAAGTGTTGCGTGCCTGGAATAGAAACAGTCACTTCTGGAATTTACTACTAAAATATGCTAACTTGTAATATACTCGTATTTCACTTTCATAACGGCTCTCCCTAGAAAGAGCTATTGCATTATGTGGCATTTCTAGGCTGTCTTGTCTTTGATATGGACACACCAATGGAAATGTGTGGAAACAAACTTTAAAACACACACAAGTTTCTAGTAGCTTTATATGGCAGAGTTCAGTTGCCACGCTTATATTTTTGTGTGTATTTTTATGGTTGTCTCTGCAAATGACTATTCACTATCTGTGCAGAAATTTGTCTGGAGCTTTGTGCTTTTACTTTCCAAAACAATATATTATATGAAAAAGTTGCTGAAAATTAAAATTCTTAATTTTCTTTGTTATTGCAACCCTTATCGAGTTGTAAAGTAACTGTTCACTCCTCCATAGGTGGAAATGTTAGAACGGAAGTATGGAGGCCGTCTCATAACTCGACATGCTGCTCGGACCATCCAAACAGCTTTTCGCCAGTATCAGATGAACAAAAATTTTGAGCGCCTTAGAAGTTCTATGTCTGAAAATCGTATGTCAAGACGCATTGTACTGTCCAATATGAGAATGCAGTTTTCCTTTGAAGGACCTGAGAAAGTCCACAGCTCTTATTTTGAAGGAAAACAAGTTTCTGTTACAAATGATGGGTCAAAGCTGGGATCCCTAGTGCAATCCGAATGCAGTGACCTTGGAGAGTCAGCTACAATGAAGTCTCCAGCAACATCTACTGACTTTGCTGATGCTATAACAGAACTGGAGGATGCTTTTTCCAGGCAGGTGAAATCCCTCGCCGAGTCCATTGATGATGCACTGAACTGCCGTAGCCTACATTCTGATGAAGTCCAGACTCCTGATCAAGTCAGAAGTCGCGAAATGGAAAGGGATAGCTGTGCTCAAACTAAACCAGCAATGCACAACGTGGATCACAGGAAGCTTGATGAGATGACAGCTTCATATAGTGATGTTACACTGTATATTGATGAGGAGGAGTTATCTCCACCCCTTCCGCTTTCCCAGTCAGTGGACAGACCGTCCAGCACAGAATCTGATTTGAGGCTCCGGTCAGTGAACTCTTCTCAAGAGTACTGGTCCATGACCCACAAAGATGATAAGATAGACACTGATACGAGCTGCAGGAGCACCCCTTCACTGGAATGTCCGGAACAGAGGATAAGGATGGATCACCTACCACTGCTAACTATAGAGCCACCCAGTGACAGCTCAGTGGACTTGAGCGACCGCTCAGAGAGAGGTTCATTAAAGAGACAAAATGCATATGATCGAGGAATCACTAGTCAACAAGGAAGCCCAAAACATATTCCTCACAATATTCCTGCCAAGATTATATCCCGAGAGGAGCAGGAGGCAAGACATAGGCCTAGGCCTATAGAGAGTCATTTAGCTATTAATGGCACAGCAAACAGACAAAGCAAATCAGAGTCTGATTATTCAGATGGAGACAATGACAGCATCAACAGCACTTCCAACTCTAATGATACAATAAATTGCAGCTCAGAGTCTTCTTCTAGAGACAGCCTAAGGGAGCAAACCTTAAGCAAACAAACATACCACAAAGAAACTCGTAACAGCTGGGATTCCCCTGCCTTCAGTAACGATATTATCAGGAAACGGCATTATAGAATTGGGCTAAACCTTTTTAACAAGTAAGTGCAGTGTTTCTTCCTCTTCATGGCCACAGTACAAGGAGTGTTTTACTTGAATCAGATAAGTAAGAATGCAGTCTGATACTGGCTATTCAGTGGAAAAAAGTAAGCCCAGTGTTTTCATAGAGGTGCTAAAAGAGGTAATACACTTTGTATACGTACACATATATAATATCTCTAAAAATCAGGGTAGGCAGTTGTTATAACAGACTACCTAGTTCAAATAACTGATTTGTCTGCTCATGTTAGCTGTTTGTGTTAGAGTACTTACAAACTGACATCTTCGTAGTTAAACAGCTTCAGAGGGAAATAAATACGGTAGTAAAATTACATATGGTTGTTTAATTCTCATCCATTTTTTGTGTTTGCAGGTATAATAAATTCAAAATTTTCTCCTGCCCTAATCATGTATAGTTGAAATTGTTACGGGCATTAAAAACAACAAGAAGCAGAAGATTAATTTCATATTTAACACTGGCAGAAGTTGAAAATTGTTCAGTAATAAATAAATAAATCTCATCAAAACTTCATTTTTGCACTAAATATATATTTGAAGTACAGCATTGTTGTAGAATGTTTATTCCCATTTATGACTGCTAATTTTCCCACTTACAGAGTTGTTTAAGGCTCCTATAAAATAACATGCTTAAGTTTCTTCTTTTGGAAATGCTTTCTTCTTTGGTAACTCCTATGTGCTTGCAGAAAGCGTGAATATTATGATAGAGGGTAACAGAAAATATACTCTGTATTCTTATTACTGGAGTCACGCAGATCTCATTAGAACTATCATACTTTGAAGGTAAGAACAGCAAAGTGGTTGTCATTAGAAATCCTACATCTCCTTCACTGCTCAGATGATGCCTACTGTGCCGATTTCCCATTCATAAGTGGGCATAATTTACTTACTTAAACCTGTCCTGGTACTAGTGCTTATAAGGTTCCTTAGAACACTTAGGTGAAAGATGCTAAGTGCCAGTATTTGTTCTTATTTTCCATTAAAATGTTGCTGACAGCTCACAGTATTGTTTGTGGAAGCTTTTGAAGCTATCTGCAGAGTACTTCAGGATTTCTCTATGAAAATATTGTAGCTTCTGAAAAAGTAGGAAGTATTTCAGTGTGCTGCCATAGACCACGCTTCACAGTTTACTACTGCTTGAATGAGTTCAACCCTCCTTTGTGGCTAGCAGTGCTGTGATTTGTGTTGTTCGATTTAATAGATCACTGGCTCATAATATGTTGTAACATTGCATGTAATTAAGTTTTTTGATGCCATCACCAGAGGTTATTGCTAAGTATGGATAAGTCAAGTTTGGCTGTGAAAGCTTTCTTTTTTAATTTATATATATATATTTAAGCTAATAGGCCTTTATTTACAAGAGGTTTTAATCATTTGGAATTGGTCAGAGGATCTTTGCAGTTTTCAGTGCTTTTGAAATAGACTGTGTAGGGTTCATGTAGCATGAACGCTCTTGGCAGCAGGTGGGATAGTGATGTAGGTTCTAGAACTGGCTGGCTGACCTTTAAAAGACTTGGTATTTGCTCTTTTTTTTTTGCACAGTAATTAAACCTTAAGTAGTCAATGATCAGTGAGCTGCAGACTTGATAGTGTAGTCTTTTGAGTCAATTGCAAAAGGAGATAGGGAAAAAAAAGTGAATGAAAAAGTGCTCAAGCAGCATGCGGAGATGAAAGAGCATTGGGAATTGTCAGGTGTCACACATCATACCATATCAGTAGGAGGCTGGAAGTGGAAAATAAATGCCAACAATAGGGAAGAATAGAGACTCTTGGAAATACCTCTTGAGCTGAGTGATCTTGCTGCACAGACTTGAAGAGAAAGTAGGAAAATATTTATATATACATACTGACTGGTTATGAGATGACTTGAAATTCATAGAAGTGAGTTCTAAAACAGAGCGATGTGCAGAACTCCAGGCAGCACCTCAGTGCATGGTATTCTGCTGCGTGGTTGTTGCACTCCCTTACTGTGTTGTCTCTTGTACTGGTAATGAACTGAAGAACCTCATTACCTTATGCTGAGTCACTTTGACTCTGTTGATAGCTCACAGTCCCCAGATATCCCACGCATCTGGTTTTTGATTATGGCTCTTCAAGTCCACGGAGATTGTGGCATTTCATTAATAGCCTTATTTTCCCTGTATCCAGTGTCACGTATTAAACCATCATAGAGTATGATGGAGAAAGAGTCTCTAACTCTTCTGAAAAGGTAACTGGGAAACTTCCAAAGCTTTATTCTTGAAAATGCAATCGCACTGATTCCTGAGGGTATCCTGCTGAGCAAGTTGCATATTTTGAGATAAATCAAATGGACAGAGATTGTGTTCAGGTACTTGGCATCTTGGCATCTGCCCAGCATCTCATGTGAGAAGGGGCATGCCTACACACTGTCTTGTGTTGCCAACTGCTTGTGTTGCTGTCATGCCTGCATGCACACCTGCAGTGCAGAGGAGTTATCTTTTTTAGTATGTTCTCCAGTGCTCACGTCAGTGCTGCATAACCATAGAGATATCTTCTGATCATTCCTCATTCATGACACATTTATGATTATTAAGCAAGGGAGGAGTGCAAGTCTCGGTGGTGAGCAGCTGAGAGGATGTGCTGGCTGTGCTCCACCCAGGCGGAAGGGCCGTGCACAGAACTGAAAGCAGCTTCCAGGCCACCTTTACAAGGAGGCAAGATTTTTTTCCAATTGTCTGCATCCACAGGAGGAAATTTTGGGGAGTTATTTTCCAAGAAGTTCGTGTTAATTTTTTTGCATTCTTGAAGGCTGTTGTGCAAATTAAGATTCCCAAACCTTTGTTAACAAATAATTGTGTGATTTCTTTTTGGTACTTGCTTGACTGAAATGCCAAAAATTTAGAAACTGTAAGTGCCTAAATTGTAATACATACTTCTGCTTTGTTCACTAGGAATGTTGTAAGAGTGGAGATTTAAAAACCATGAAAAGTCACTCTCCTTGCTGTTGAAATTTTAACAAATGCTTTGTAATTTTTCTGGCTTTCCTATCACAGTAATAATTTTCAGACAACTAAGTGCTGTTTTTAACTCTTTATTAGAATAGCCAGTTGTGTGCAGAGTAAAAGTTGAGCACAACTGGTTCACGTGATCACCATATCACCATTTTATGCAAAAACTTAGAGGCACAAAAACCCTTGGAGAGTGGAAAATCAGGGACAGAGGAGAAAAGAAACGTAGGTGATTCAAACCATTTATTCTGAGAATTCTATCACTTGATCATAGAATTCGTTTCAAGCAAGAACTTGGCTCTCAACTTGGAACCTCAATGTTAAGGAAATGTGCATATTTAAAAGATGGTCTGTGGCATTCACTATACTAGAATATATAGTATCCCTAAAATAGAACAATTTCTGTCAAAGAATTTGCAACTAGGAAGCAGCTTCTGTAAATCCTGGTATTTTTGAATGGTAGTAGTGATTTGACCCAGTCAATAGAGTCCAATTGTGTGTTGCCATTCATTGAGTTCCTAAAGGAAGGATTGCAGGTGCATGCTCAGAGTGCAAGGGCCCTGGGGAAGCTTGGTGAGGCCAGCTGTGTTGAATTAGGCCTTTTCTTCAGCACAGTCTGAAAGGGATGCAGTCTGGGAGAAATTATGCTGGAAAACATCCCTCACTTGTAGGCAGAAGGAAAACACTACCTAGAAAGGTTTATTTTGCAGTCTCCAAACCCTGCCTATGCAAATTCAGCCTTTGAGACTGATTTGCTTATAAATAAGACTTCAAGAAGGCTTTTGACTGCAGCTTAAAAAGAAAAAAAAAGCTGTGATTTTATTCTCATGCTTGTTTTGACTGCAGTCTGGGATCACCAGGTTTGCCAGTTATTGCAGCCCAATCTGGTCGGATACTCGGGTTCCGTTCTGCTACTCTAAGTGCACTGATGGTTCCAAGAGATTAAAATAGGGCAGCATGGTTTAACCTCAGCAGCGTCAGGAAACACATCTTACCCTTGGGTCAGCTTAGCAGTCAGTAGTTAGCAGATTGTGCAGAGCCATGCACATGTAGGAAGCAGTGTATTGCTAGAAGATTCTCTTCCCTTGTGCCACCATTACAGTGGCAGTACCCGGCTCCTCGCCAGTTGTCTGTGTCCGCAGATGGAAAACTGCTCCCCGTGTGCCTCCAGTGCATTACAGCTTTCTGGTCTGAAGTTTTCTGCAGCTTCCTTTGGAACATGCTAATATCAAGGTGCCACTCCTCGCTTCTTTCAGAGGATTTATTGATGGAGCTGACACGGCGTGAGCGTTTGTATTATGAGTGATCACCTTTGGAGCTGTAAACCTTGACAGCCCTACTGGCTTTGTTTATTGCTTAATGGGAGTGGTCTTATTTAAAATAAAAAGAAAACATTATGGATGTGATTTGAATATTAATTCCATGAGCAGTCTCTTTTAAGCACATCTAGATTCCTTGGAATATTTACTGAAGTATTTGTTTATTTTAGTAAACAGATCTGAGAGGAATTTGCTATGTGTTGGTAGCATTATACCACACAAAAAATTGCAAATTCTGATTGTAGAGAGATTCCTGCTGAAAATCTGAGAGAGACAAATATGCAGTGTTAGTGAGGAGGCACATTTGTCATTTATTCCTCTGTGGATCTTTATCTGTTGAACAGAGTTGTATGTCATTTACATGAAGGTAGAGGTGAATGTTTTTTTGGCATCTTAAGTACTTAAGTGACATTCAGAAAGTACTGCAAACCTTTTCGCCATTTGAAATCCTTAAAAAATGTCAGGTTTTATTATGAGGAAAATATAAAAAGCTTTACAATAAGCTATCAATTTAAGCACTGTAGTAACTCTACTTATTTGTTGTTCATCTATTTGTATGGAATGTATATCTAATGAATTACACATAAGATACCATTCAGCTTTCTAATGTCTGATCTGAAAACGTGTAATTTTGGACTTGTCCCCTTTAGCATTTTAAGTTGTAAGCTCACTTGGAAGCATTTTTAATGATGTTAG